TCCGCTGCACTGTGCTCCACGGGCCACGGTTTTGCTCGTCATTTATCTACAATGCCTGGAAGAGCGTCCGCCACACACTGCGTGGCCCGCAAATTTGTTGAGCACAGTGAGGCATCCAGCTCCGAGACGTGGACTCCAATCCTTGGGGTGGGGAAGGAGCTGTACACTGGGTGCTGGAAGGACCTGGGGGCCACCGGGAAGCACAAGAGCTGCCCGAGTGCCGGTGCCCAGGTGCGTTGTCACCCTGACGGCAGGTGGTAGGCGGTTGACTCCCGGGTCTCTGAGCTCTCTCTCTCCGGGTGGTCGGCAGAGGCCTTGCACAGGTGCTCAGTTGAGAGGAGCGGCCTGGCCTTTGTTTGGACAGCCCAGGCTGGCTGCTCGGGCTGTCCTTGCCCCTGAGCTCACTCTGCAATGCCAAAGACCTGTCTCTGAGACAGACCCAGGAGGCCAGGGGTCCTCAGCTGGAGGCCGTTTTTGCCCATCCCACTTCCCCACACCCCACCCCGGACACTGGGGATTCTGGAGACACTTTGGGCTGTCACAACTGGGTGTGGGGCTGCTACTGACGTCTGGTGGGTGGAGGCCAGGGGTCCTGCTAGTGCACCACACAGGACAGCCCCCCACAATGAAGTTCTCCAGGGTCTGACTGACCCTGGCTGAGAAACCCAGTTGTCAGTCAGCCCAGGCCTGGCCAGCAGGAGGTGCCTTCGGTGTGGGGAGCAAGCATACCCCAGAAACCCTTCCTGTTTTTATAAAGGACCCTGGAATCAGTATTCCTGCCCCGACTCAGTCTCCCGACCGCCTGGAGCTGCGTGAAAAGGCATGTTCACGCGTTTCCCACGGAGACCAGTTTCCAAGGGCGGAGCCTCCCCGGCCCATGCAGCCTCCGCCTGGATGACCGTGGGACCCCTTCTTCTTGCTGCCTCAGTCCCTACCTTTCTCTTCGGCCCTGCTCCTTCACCCCGAACTTCCACAGCTTCCCCAGCGCCCCCCCAAGATTAATGTGATAATTGCCGTTTGTGCCTGTTTACGCAGGGAGTGGGTGTGCTCGCCACCCCCAGTCAGGCGGGCTTCCAAAGGAGCACGTCCCCACTGTGTCAGCACGGGGACCTGTTGAGCATGCCTGTGCGGGTGGGCTGCCACCCCCGACCGCTTTCTCTGTCTGTCATCGCCCCCAACACACGCATGTGTGTGTCACTCAGGGAAGGAGCAGGTGAGAAGCCTGGGGAGCAGCCAGCTGCCAGTCTAGGGGCTTGGCTGGGTCACATGGGAGGGGCATCAGCATCTCAGATTGACAGGACATTGCCCTGGAGAACAGCAGGCTTCTGGCGTGGTTGACGCACAACAGGTGTCCCGTGAAGGGCGGGAAGGAAGAGCCGGCACTCTGTGTGGTAGCTGGTGATACACCCTGATGCTCCCCGTGGAGATCTGGGTGGGGAAAGTCTCCCTGTCAGACTCTCCTGGGGCCAAGCCTGGCTGCACGTGTTTAGAAAGCTGTGAGTCTCTTTCCCCAGGATCTTGCTCACAGACCTGAGCACAGCTCTCCCCTGTTCCCTGAGGAGCAGTCGCTAGGGAAAACCAAGTGTGATGATGCCACACGCAAGCCTCTTGTCAGAGCCATGGAAGCAGACAGTGGCTGCAGCAGGTACAGCGGCCAAGGAAGGAAGGAAGGAAGGAAGGAAGGAAGGAAGGAAGGAAGGAAGGAAGGAGAGGGAGAGATCCTCCATCTCACCAGGCAGCCCAGCTCTCTCCCACCCCCTGAGACAGACATAGGTGCTACAGGAGGGGACAGTCTCAACTCCTGATGCACCAGCAACTTTCTGCTCTGCATCTCTGATTCCTGCCTCACGTGGTACCAGGGCACTTGCTGTCCTGGGGGTTGTTGGTTACATTCTCTTGTCTTCTGATCTCAGAAGACACTTTAGTCGTTGCCTCTCCTACACGGGGCAGTTTTAAAGTTTTAATGGTGATGAATCAAAAGGAGATGGAAGCTCTAATTAGCATCGGAAAGAGCCTCGCTGTTTGGGGGGAGGTGAGTGTGAAGTTCTCTGCTTGCTCCCTCCTGCCGGGGCTGGGGCCTTATCCCACAGGACCGGACATGCCCTGGGTCCATGGACAGGCGGGAGACCTGAGGGTGAGGCCTGCCGGGGAGGAAGAGTGGAAGGGAGAGGAGAACAGTGTGGAGAGGGGGTGGCAAGTGTATTCAGAAGATTTGTGAGTGATCTCTGGGCTGTCAAGCTGCTTTCTCCAGAAGAACCTTTTAAGCTGTCAATCATCTTTAATACCCGCCCCTCCCCAGGGCCTGGTGCCTGGCTCCTCCCAGATTTTCTCCCTCCCTCTCTTCCTCCTCCCTCTTTTCTCTTCTTCCTCTTTTGTTCATCCAACAGACTCCAGTGCCTTCATGGGTGACTTTTTTTTTCTGTTCTTTTTTTTTAAGCAGTTCAGAGCTTCAGAGATGGAGAGGGGAATATCATAATGATTTATTTGTGTATATTTCAGACACGAGAATCATGCTGTTCCGATTGTGGTCGTTTATTGATTACTCGAGCAGCTGCTATTGTGCCAAACACTTTGTTAGGTGCCAGGTGCGGAAACAGGGAGGCAGTGAAGGGGCTCGCCTTTGTGTAAGTTGCAGCAGACTGACAACATTTTCCCAGATACTGGATACAGAGACACTGTTCGCCGTCGGTGTTTTATAGAGTTGGAGAGCAGGTTCCAGACTCCGGTGTGGGGAGGAGAGTCCTCGTATCCCCGCTTCTCACAGGCTCTATTTCCTGATGTGCTCAGGGATTTTCTTTGAGAAAGTGGGTTTCGTGATTAAGGAAGTGTATAAAGTGAGGGAATAAGTGCAGTGGATGTTCCTTTATTGTGGGTCTTCTTGCAGAATAAAGGGAAAACCTAAGTTGCTGTGTTTCCCACGTCTCTTTGGTACCCGGAGCCCATCCTCCACGTGAACACCCTTCAGGCCTCCGCGGCATCTTTGGCAAACAGTCACCCAGCGGAAAACACTTAGCTCTCTTCCACCTGCAGCTCAGTTACTTTCAGGACCAAAGACACCTTAATGGTCACAAGTTCCTCATTGCCATCACTGACCCCAACTACCCTTTGTAGGCAACTGAGCCCTGACCTGGGTGCTGGGAGCAGACTCAGTCCTTGGTGACAAAGGACGCTGGGTGGGGTGGGAAGGGGACTGGCTGAACCAGAGAAGGAGCAAAACTTGTCTGTCTGAGCAGCACTGGTCAACCGTCCAAGCTAACTAGTTCGGTACAAAATGTTGCATTTTTATTATGAATAAAGACAGAGCTAGATGTACTGTTACCATTCAGTCCATCCTTCAGCTCCTACGAAGGCCCATGTCTCCACTGTGGCAGAGGGAGAACAGTGTCCTGTGTCCCTTGGCATCTTGCTCTTCATGTTTGAACCAGGGTGGTTTTCCCTGTGGTCCAGCCCACATCTTCCCTGCTTACCTTCCACTGAACAGACCTGGTCAGTCCAAGGAGTTAGATCTGGTGCACTGACACCAGCAAGTCCCTGCTGTTCATTGTCCCGTTCAGTTCAGGACGTGTTTGTTTTCAACTTTAATTTTGCTTCATTAGCAATCGTGTCTCTCTGAGCAGTGTAGGGGCAAGACAGGGGCCACCAGCTTGGTGGAAGAGGGTTCCTGGAAGCTCTTTTTGCAATGGCTTATATACTGAGAGGTGGTGGCTGTGATCAGAACCGGTGGGGGGCAGAGGTCTGTGGACGGACATCTGAGTGGGAGGCAGAGAGAAGATGAGGTAACCTGGGAGAAGAGCCAGGTAGATGACATAGAAGTCCCCAGGAAACATGAGTTCAGTGAGCCAAAGGATGTTTGCACAGCTGAATGGGAGGTTAATCAGAGGGACGTGGAAATACTGAGTTCATAGCTTCATTGTCTTAATTTAGGGGCAAGGCATTTGAATTGGATGACTTTTTTCTCCAGTAAATTGAGGATTAAATATCTTTTCAGAAATCGAATATCCTGGAATTCAATCAGGTATTAAAAGGTTTTTTGTTTCTGTTTCTGTTTTGGAAGAGGAGGATTCCAAAGCCCTGAATAGGTAAAATGCAATTCAAGGAGACTCTTTTGAAAGACTTGGAGTTGATATCCTGGTGGGGGGAAGGGGAGGGGGTATCAAGGCAGAGCCTAGTTGAGAGGCTGAAGTGTGAATGCTTTTCAAAATACTCCCGAACTCTCTTTCCAAGGTCTTCGTAAGACACCCTGCCAAGGGGTGCTTCTGATGGCTAAGGCATGTGGTGCAATGTCCCCTCTGCTCTACCACTTCAGGGCCTTGCGTCTAACCTGTAGTAGAAGAATCTAGAATATGGGTGTCTGTGCATTTTTCAGGTCACTGTGCATTAGCATTAGAAAGAGATCAAGGGGTCATTCTTCAAATGCAGCTGTATTCCTTGTTCTGTCTGGAGCCTTGCTGGGGCCAGGCTTGGGCACGCTCTGTACTAAGATTATAGCGGTGGGAAAGAGGAAGCCAGAGGCAGGGTCAAGGGCCGAGCAGGATGTGGGTAACCCTCATTTCTCTCAGGCCACCCTGGGAAGGCCTTGGCCAGCATCTGTGGAATAGAGTGAGCGTCCCAGACTGCCCCGTCTTTCTGAGAATTTGTCCAATTGAGAATGCAAAAACTTGGAACCCACATCATCAAACGCTATAAAACCAGTGATTCTTTGCATGATCTTGGAAAAGTAGTTGACCTTTCTGGGTTCTGTTCTCTCATCTGTTCAGTGAGGGTGTTAGACTATTGCAACTCAGGGTGTTACATGAGGCTGATGCAATGTCCTTCACCACGCATATGGGAGAATGAGTTAACCCGCAGTGGCACCAGATTGGGGGTGGAACAAAGCAATGTTCAGCTGCGTTGTACTAGCTTGTTAACATTATCCTGTGGGGGACACTGCAAGAGTGGGGGCCCTCTGCTGGCGCATGGTTTGGATGAATTATTAAGGGCCCAATTTTCCTTTCTTTCAGACCAATGATGCCTTAGGAGCCACCTGGAATTGGCTGTACTTCATCCCCCTCATCATCATTGGATCCTTCTTCGTTCTCAATCTAGTCCTGGGAGTGCTTTCGGGGTAAGCCACATGGTCCTTCTAACCTCTTTCTATCACTTCTAATTCATGGCAGATTCATTCACTGAAGCTTTGTTTACGGAGCAGCCCTATGTGCCAGGTGAGGTTCCCGATGTTGGGAATTCAATGAACTGTCTTCCAATCATCTGTATTATTTTTAGGAAGTAAAAAAAGTCCTTCTACCGGGTACGGCATTGAACACAGCATCTACTGAGAGCTCATTTATCTGTGCATCCTTTCGTTTAGTGACTCAACAGTCAGGCTTTCTGTGCCAAGATGTGTGCTGGTTGTTAGGGATGTAAGTTGAATGAGATCCAGGCTTTACCCTCAAAAGACTCACTTTACCGTGTATCGGTCATCAGACCCCATGTGCGAGGCTTGGACTGGGGTCCGTCAGTCAGCAAGCACCGCCGTCCGTGCCATGGGGAGCGTTGTAGGGAACACATAAGGTATAAGGCCTGGTCCCTGCCTCGAAGCACCTCGTGTTTGAAGGCGACACACATACTTGAAACAGAGAGTGGGAGTTCTTTTCCTGACTCTCATGAGAGTTCATCTGGTTGGGGGAAGGGACAAATCTGCATTGTCCACAGTTATCGGAGCTGGTTTCATGAAGTGTTGGCAGTTTGTTTGGGACATAAAATATGTGTTACGGAGCCAGGGCTCACTGTCTTATGTGCATAGAAGCCAATGGCTGTGGCACCAGCGTTTGAGAAAAGAGAAAAGCTTCTATTGCCAGGTTGACCGGGAAGGAGACAGGAGGCAAGGCTCAAACCTGTCTCCCCATTCGGAGGTTTGGGGGCAAGATTTAAGGGATTTCAGCACTGGGTCTCCCTGGACAGCGGACACTTCTCCTCTGAAAGGGCTCTGGCCTCCAGGTTCCAGGCACGCCCTGGTCCTCGGTTCCATGGTGGGGGGTGAGGTGGGGGGGGGGAGCAGTTGAGGGCTCACAAGTGTTTCTCTTAAGTGGTGTATCCAAGGTGTAAGCTTTGGTTCTGGGCATTGTTAGCAACAAGATAGGACCGGTTTGGGCTGGTTCTGTGGTTATATAATATGTAATAAGGTAAAATAAAAAATGTGGATATAAACTCCGGGAAGGGGAGAGCACCATACCATAACCAAAGGTGAAGAAAGGGGACTGGTCACGGAGAGTGAAGAGATTTCAATGAACCCAGAGTTAATCGGAGCGGCAGTGCCACTTTGAGAAATGAAAGGTGTAGAATAGGAAGGCCAAAGCCGGTAGATTTTAGAGGGCCTTGCATTTTTCTAAACAAAATTGGACTTTCTCATCTGAGCGGCATAAGTTCTTCAAGTGAAAATTTATAAAGTGGTGGTTCTTTTGAAACGTGACATTGAACCAACGGCGTCATCTCTCGTAACTCCTAACACAGGATGGAAGATGGGCACAGTGACAAAAAGGACAGGAGAAGAAATGGCAACCGATGAGAGATGTCAACAGCATTTTTGCAGATCGATAATAAAGGCAACTGACCTAGTGGTGGAAAGGCAGAGGTTTCGTTGCCCTGGGTGGGTCATGCCAATAAAACAAAGCAAGATGGCTGCCCTCCAACCCTACGGGGCCTGGAAAGGCCCGGGAAGCAGAGGCAGCAGGCGGGTCTGACAGCTGGAGGCTGGGTGGTGCCGATAATAATGAGAGTGGTCAAAAGTCCTTGTAAGGAGCACTTAGCAGCCCCGCGCCCCACAAACAGTGCTGGCAGCAATTTGCTGCTCCCAGCCTTCACCCCAAAGTTAGCAGCCTCTCACTCTCCATAGAGGCTGAATGGCAGAAGCTGGGAGTGGTAACAGCAGGGGCCTCTCAGGGTGGGGTCGATACGTTGTGGAGAGAATGGGAGGGTTAAATGGAAGTCCACAAACTGAGTGGCGTTACTGCCAGCCCACCTCAACTGCGTGACTCTCAGAACGAGCCATCTGGAAGGAGCTCAGAGCATTGGTGGGGAGTTCATTTCCTCCGTGGGGAAACCGTGAACTGTTAAGAGCAAAGACCTGCATTACTGTTCATTCAAGGTGACCAGAGAAAGGGTTCCCTCCCATCACCTTCATGGTGAAGAAGGTGACCCTCATGATTTTCATTTCCTGTGGCCACCACAAACTGGGTAGCTTAAAGCTATGGGAGAAATCACTTCTCTCGCGGTTCTGGAGGCCAGAGGTCCACACTCCAGCAGGAGCTGGGTCATCTTTCTCTGCAGGCTCTCGGGGAGCGTTTATTCCCTCCCTCCGTCACCTCTGGTGGCTGCAGGCATCCCTTGGCTTGTGGCTGTGTCACTCCCGTCTCTGCCTCTGTGGTTACATTGCCTCCTTCCCTTCTGTCTACTCCGTATGAGGACACTTGTCATTGCATTTAAGGTTACTTGGATAGGCCAGGATGATTTCCTCATCTCCAGGTTCTTAATTATATCTGCACAGGCTGCTTTTCCAAATACAGTAACAGTTACAGGTTCTAGGATTTAGGGTGTGGACATATCTTTTTATTGGCAGGGGTGGGGTTTATTGGCAGTATAATGCCTGTGCTCACTGCTGTCCAAGCCCCCAGCCATGCACACAGAATTTCCAATAAGCTTTTTGTGCTTTGCTCTTCACTATGAACACACAGCCAGAGAGTGTTATCACTTGAAGAAAACGTCTAACACAAACCAGAAAATATCATAAATTGAAAAAGGAACCCGAGGGAATGTGAACAGTGCTGGGAGCAGAAGATAACTTTTAAAAAGTATAAGTGGTATCAGCAGCCATAGGTGAGAAAAAATTTTATCCACAAGGTAACAGATTGCTATGAAGAGACAGTTTTAGCACTTAAGAAGAGTTTTGGGCATTAGTATAAAATAATGTAAAATTAACACTTATGTGAAATAATTAATGTAAAATTTATGTTAATGTAAAATGAATGACTAAAAAATGTATACTTAGAAGACAGTAAAGGGTTGGAATATAAAATTGGTGAGATCATTTAAGAAGTAGAACCAGAAAAATAAAAATCAGAGGATAGGTCAAACATGCAAGTAATAGGGTTACATAAAATGCAAAAGGAATTAAGAAAGAAAAATACCAAAAGTGTTCCAGCACCAGTCAAGTCACATCGCCAGATTAAAAGGTCAGCTAGAGCACATGCGAGGATACGCTTTGCAGCATTGTTTCTGGCGGTGGGGAGCTGGGGAAAACCCGAGTATCCATGACTCGGGGAGGAGCCGGGAAAACTGCCGGATGCATCCCATAATGCGCTGTGCAGCACTTGGGAGCAACAAACACCACGTGCTTGTGGCAACATCGAGTATCTTAAAAACATACAGTTTTATAAAAAGACAAGAGGGAAAGTGTGATATAGCATTTACATGAATAAAAATACATACGCACAATACAGTTTGTAAAAATGCGTGCACATAAAAAGTGGGCGTTGACTATATTGTACTGTATGGCAGGAAGATGGGAGGTGGGTGTGAAGATAAAAGGGAAGACACGTATAATGCAAATGGCCACTGAGCGTTTGGTACAACTAATAAAAAGACCACACCAAGGTGAATCATCATGGAATTTCAGAGCATCTGGGTAAAGAGAATATTCTAAAAGTTTCTGATGATGGGGAAGGGGATGGATTTTACCTACAGATAACTATGAATCAGGTTGCCTTTGGGCTTCCAAGTGACACTGAAAGAAACCAGTAGAGAAGTCCCTAAAACTTTCTGAAAGAAACGAGTGTCCAGGACAGAATTCTATACCCAGCGAAAATAGCAATTCTTTGCGAGGATGGGATAGCAATATTTTCAGACACTCTTTCTGAAGAAGTTACTAGAGAATGTGAGGCACTAAGATAAGGAAGTAGTTAAAGAAAGAGAAGAGCGTGATACTCATGGAAACAAAGGATTTCATAGAGGAGAGAGGCCACGGTTCCCAGGATGATGTGGACGGAGATTGAGAACAAAAGCTGTTTGTTGGAGGCCTGGAGAGAAGTAGGCTCAGATGAGAGAGGATAACGAAGGACTAAAAAAATGATTCCTTTAAGAAAAATGAAACTGATACATTCCCTGGTGAGTATTATATTCAAAAGAGTTTAATGGTTTTCTTTACCAAAACATATGAATATGCGTGTGCATATATACACATACGTACGAATACAGGGTCCAGCAGAAGTAACGCTTGCTTGAGTGTGGTTGGTAGGGTCATAATACGGGTATAATTATTTATAGTCTTAATTTAAACAATTCACCTAAAATGTCACATGGTGTGCTTAAGTGTGATACTGTTATTGTTACAGAATTATATGCTTATGGTTTTATAATAAAAGATTTTATAATAAGGCCTGGCTGGTGTGGCTCAATGGATTGAGTGCTGGCCGGCGAACTGAAAGGTTGCTGGTTTGATTCCCAGTCAGGGCACATGCCTGGGTTGTGGGCCAGGTCCCCAGTTGGGGGTGTGCAAGAAGCAACCAATTGGTGTCTCTTACACATGCAAGTTTCTCTCCCTCCCATTCCCTCTCTCTGAAAATAAATAAAATCTTTACATATATGTAAAAAAAGATTTTGTAATAAAAGGGCGTTATTTGTGCCTGACCCTGTCTATAAAATATATGAATATATAAATGTATGTATTTGTATACCCCCAAAACCCCCCAAACTAAGCAATTAATTTCACAAGCACAAAACCATTACCACTAAAGGAACCGAAGCATAGTAAGTCCTCAGTGCTTTTACGTGGTCACTCTGGGTTGGAGACAACCCTTAGGTGCTATATCGTTGTCTTGGAGGGTGGGGGAGGGGCAGGGAACCACAGTCTGAGGTTCCACAGTAAGGAAGGCCTTAAGCAATATCTAAAATGGAAAGACAAAGAAATAGCAGCTGTGTAAGGGTGATATTTTGAAAACCGGAAATGAATAGCAGAAGAAACAGATGAAAAGAATTGGAAGTGCTCGCCTCTGGGGAGTGGGACTCAGAGATGGGAGAGGGCGCGAGGCCGTGAGCCGCTGTTTTTTCATTGTAAGTCTTTTTAAAATGTTT